CCCCAAAACCCCAAAACCCCAAAACCCCAAAACCCCAATGTGATTATAATTAATAGAAATTATTGGATAATATTCCAACCATGAAGTGTCCTAAGTGCCAAAGTAGCAACATCACTACTGATGAAGAACAAGGAGAAGCAGTCTGCGAATGCGGAAATGTCATTGAAAGAGGAGGTATCGTCAACAACGTCGAGTTTAACAACGTTGGAAATCGTAGCAAGGTAAGTCTGGTATTCCTCATTTTTAGGTGTATGGCTCCTTCTTTGATAAAAATGCACCCAATAATGGGATGTTTGCAGGAAATAACAATTTGTTAAGCGAATCTGGTCAAATGAGGTTATATAAAGCTTATAAGTTGATTGAACAAATTGGATCAAAATTATCATTACCTCAAACCTTGGCAGAATCTGCTAAGAAATTATACAAAATTGCTAAACTTGAGTTCGATAAAAACTTTGTTCAAGGTCGTCAGACAAAGCATGTTGCAGCAGTTGTCCTCTATATCGTCTGCAGACTTGAGCAGAAGCCTCATCTATTAATCGATTTTGCTGATGCTCTGCAGACAAGCTTGTACTCACTTGGAAGTACATATTTGAAGCTGATCAAGAAGATCAAAAATAATATGAACAAGCTAGATCTTCCTCTGATAGATCCATCATTATTCATTCACAAATTTTGTGCTAGGTTAGACTTTGAGGACAAAACCCAAACTGTGGCTACCACCGCTCTGAGAATGCTGCAATCAATGAAGCGAGACTGGATCAGCACAGGTAGGAGACCTGCAGGACTTTGTGGAGCTGCCATTCTTATCTCAGCAAGATATCACGGATTTAGTAGGTCTACACATCAGATTGTAAAAGTTGTAAAAGTGTGTCATGAAACCATCCGAAAGAGGCTCCAAGAATTTAAGAAAACTGGAGTCGCTCAGCTGACCATGCAGGAATTTGAAGCTATCAAGGACTCAGATATGGCTGAAAACGATAAGTATGGTATGGATCCTCCAGCCTTCATCAAAAGTCTCCTCCAGAAAAACAAAGCTCTGAAGTGTATCAAAGATGTTGAATGTGAAGAAGTCAAAGGTAAACATCAGCTTAAATCTAAAATCTCACCTAAAAATTTAGAAGAGGAAACTGAAGCCACGATTAAAAGAAAGAGAGAAGCTAAGGAAGAAAGTAAAGAAGAGGAAGAGCTCGAGTATCAGACTCCAGTTATTAAGGAAGAAATTAAGCCAAAACCAAAGAAAGAGCGACCTGCTGATCTCCCCGATAACGAATCCCTCCTTTCTAGTGACGACGAGGACATCCACCAGTACCTCCTGAATGAGGATGAAAAGAAGGTGAAGTCGGTAGTATGGCATAAAATGAATGAAGAATGGCTTAAAGAGCAGGAAATGAATCAAAAGAAGGCCAAAAAGGTTGAAAATACCCCTACTAAGCCTTCTGTAGAGAAGAAGGTAAAGCCTAGAGCTAAGCCTAATCATCTATTTGCTGAAACTCTGAAGACGAAGAACTTAATTTAACATTCAAAATAAGTTTTCAATAACTTTCCCTTTAAGGGGTTTTGGGGTTTTGGGGTTTTGGGGTTTTGGGGTTTTGGGGTTTTGGGG